TGAGAACGTTTATTTTTTCATTAGTGAGTTCGTTAGTGAGGTGAAATAGTTGGCGGCTTTGTAAATAGTTAAGGTTAAGTTAGTTTTTGCGTTCATGTTGTAAAATATACGTTAGCGGTTTCGTAAAGTGTCAAATTCACATATAATGAGTAAGGAGGCGCGCAGTGCCTCCGTACCCAACATAGTTTTACTAACTTCTGTCGTTAAAGTTCCAGACAGTGAACTCATTGAATTTCTTCAACGTTACATTCGACGTAAGGGGAAATATTATGCTATCGTAGAGTTCATACAGTCAGGAATGCAAAAGACCTCTGAGGAGATGGAAAGAATTATTGACAAACACCACTTACGTCAGTACTCAGGAGTTTACGATATGAAACGACTTACAAACTACATTCTATCAAAACTTTCAAAATACCCCTTCAAAAAATATCCTTCAAACACTCTGCGCGTTTGCGACGACTTCGCCGGAAAAGGTTTAGTGTCAAAGTCTGACTCACCATTAGCTAACATCATAACTAAAGTCAGACATTACCATTTAACTGTAGCAATACTTATGCAAACATGGCGTTTTCTTGCTTTAAACATAAAACGTCTCATAACTGACTTCGTTATCTTTCAAGGTTTCTCACGTTATGATATTGAACTCATTTGGAAACAGTCAGGTATAACATTACCTTTTGAAGAAATTTGGGAAGCATATAAGTCTCTCATCTCTCCTCGTTCATACCTTGAGATTCATATCATGACTAATACCATTAAAGTCAAAAATATTCCATGGGAACGACCAACATTGTTTTAAAGTTTAACCTTCAATTGACTGATGGTAAACAAATTTCATGCATCTCTGTCGCCATTTCTGTTAATATTTTTGCTGTCATTCATATCATCCACTTCCCCATCCGTTAGCTTTTGAGGATATGCGTTAGAATAGCTGTTCTTAAATGAAGGCTTTTCACCTTGAGAGCATAAACTCTATAACTTTCTGCATACTTTATGTTTGAACCTCCTGAGCCATCATTGACATAAAATTTTATAGGCTTCCACCCTTTGTTCATGTTCCTGCTTCTTCCCTTAGCTCTTTTGTTCAGTAGTTCTACATCTTTATACACAGCTCCTGTCTCAGTGAATTCAACAATATTTTCATTCGTTAGCTTTACATTCAAACCCTTGTCGAGTATATTGTTCATTTCCTACATATAAAAGGTTTTTATTCTATATGAAATGAGAAGCAAATCCATCTTAGCTGGTGCCGTTAATGTTCCAATTGAACCAACATCAAATGTTGACTCACGAACGACAAACAATATTGTCATAAAGAACTATAGTTCGGAGTGTTTGAAAGAAAAAGAACCAGATCTTAAGTCGGTGAATTTAAACACAGCTTCAAACGCTAACGCTAACGCTACATCAGATGTTAAGTTAGAGTATCCACCACTGGACCAAGTTCTTTCAAGAGAAGCCAACGACAATCCTTACACAAATGTTCAAACAAATCCTTCAGATAACGTAGACCATTACCTTCTTCAGTTATACCAAACAATTTTACTCAAAGACGATAAGAAGCTTTTGACAAATCTTATAAGCAAGAACCAAATAATTCTAACAAAGGAGGACCTTGAAAATGTTATATCACGAATAACAGGGAAACAATGTGTCATTGACTATCTCGACCCTGAAATCGAATGCTGTGGTCAAACGCCAATATTCATGAAAATAGGTAACATCCGCATCATTGAAACACCAGGAACTACAGGAGTTGAGTTTAAGTATAGATATTCGAACGAGTATACAAAACTATCTACTGACTATAAGCTTTGTTTGAAATATGTTTTAGTAAATTAAAGCAGTCAGGACCTTCGGTCTTGGCGCTTTGTGCCGTCAGTCAAAAAAATTTCAAGTTAGCAATTTGTAATATCTATCCAAAACTTCTTCAACAGTATCGAACTCATCTTCATAATGCAAACCTAATCTTATTGACTTGGTGCAGTTTTCACTAACACAATATTTTTCTGTTCTCTTGACTGACATAACTAACTCATTTGTTTCATCAAACAGCAACAACCAAAGTTCATGACCTAATACATAACATTCATACTTTATATTTTTAACTATGAGTTCTCTTGTAAGCTGTTGCATTTAATATTATCTAAAAAGTCTACTTCAACAGTCATTCGCACTGGTGCCTTCAGTTCTACAGGCTCTCCTTGAAAGTCAACAAGTCTGAATTGCATGTCTTTCAAATTATGAGGACTAATGCGAACCCATTTACCTAAATGAGTTGCTATGACAGGAACGTTTGGAATGAACATTGAATTTACTTCATAACAGAAAGACTTATATTCTACTGAACCTTTACTATTAACTCCTGAAATACCTGTGACATTAGCTATTTTTGACTCAATGTACAAACAATTGCCATAACATACATATGGAACAGATTTCATCTCAATCGTTTTGTCAACACTTTTCAAAGGAAATGTCATATGGTATGCTCCCAGAAGCAATTGAACTCTATGACTCATTCTTGGTATCTTAAACTCTTTCTCGCTGCTGAACTTCAATGTTCCCTCAGAAGAGAGTTCGACATCTATGTTGTCAATAGTTTCTTCATTTATGAGAGTATCTATGACTCCAGCAATTTTATCTATTCTATACCCAGCTCTGTTAGGAAATGTTATAACACTTCTTTGTCATCTATTTCAATCTCTATGAAATATGTTTCATCTGTTATGACAAAAGTTGCGATAGTATTGAAGTCAACAACTCTGAAAGCAAGCGCTTCATTCTGAAGACCTAAGTTTGTTTGTAGTTTTACTATTCCGTATTCATTCGGGTCTGTACTTTGCAAATAGAACAACATTTTATTCTCATTAAAATATGACTATTGCTGCATATGCGTATGAAACAAATGAAGCAAGAAAGAGCACATGAACTAGTAAATGAAAACTCAACTTTCACAGTGGAAGGTAACAATTTAGTCATTGACGATGGAAAAACTAAAAAAGTCATTGATTTCGATACTTTTAACACTTATGACCCATTCATTACAATAAGTAAAGTTCCTATCATAAATGATGGAACGATGCAATATATAAATTCTACAGTAGATGCCTCATTAGTGAAAGTATTAAATGTTCTCATTGAATTGTTAAAGAGCTTTCGATTTGACGACAACATTAAATGCTTAAAGAATTTAGTCATGAATGAGAAACAAATTCTCGGCGTTGCTGGTAGCAGTAATGATGTACACCTTATGACATTAGAATATTATAACGAACATAAAGATGAACTGAAAGGAGAGAAGGGTGACACTGGAGCTCAAGGACCACAAGGACCACAAGGAATACAAGGAATACAAGGACCTCAAGGCGAAAACGGTTTGGATGGTGAAGATGGAAAGGATGGAAAAACTGCTAAATCATGGATATGGAACCTTATATAATACTGGTTTAACAGCTGGTTCATATGGAGTTCTTCAATACCAAATCGGAAAGATATGGGCGGTACTTGGTGAAGAAGCTTTAGATGACGTTAAAAATGCTTTGAACTTCATTTCAAATGGTTCGTATACTATTAAAACTTTATCTGGTTGGATGCAAGAAACAAGGAGTCAAATAGATACTGTAAGACGTATAGCAAACAATGCACGTACGGGATTGGATACTTTACGAGAAGCACAAAATACACTAAAGGAAGCAAATGATATTCTTGGATCAGTATCAGACATGCATGAAGATTGGCTTAAAGGTATTGACAAATCTTTAAAAAATCACAGTCAGTCTATTGCTGACTACAAGAAAAGTATAGATTTTTTACATAGTGCTATGGACGTACATGATGGAAGCATAAGGAACTTACTTAATGCTAACAATAACTTACCAGGAACTATTAAAGCATTTATAAAGTCCTTTGTAAAACCTGGTGCTCTAACATTTAGGTCTTTGAGAGCAAGAGCATTGAAGTCAAGAGATGCAGAAACTCCAACAGAACCTACAGAAGGAACTGAAACAACAGAAACTCCAGAAGAACCACCAAAACCAACAGCTAATGAAATATTGTTCGAATATTTTCCAAGGTACTCTGTTCTCATTGCATACATTCAAGAAATACTTAAGAAAGCAGACTTGACTTTAGGAGATGATGAAAGTTCTGTATATCTTTCGTTCCAGTTTCAAATAGCAGAACTTTTGAGACAGATATGCTTAATGTATGACAACATCTCTGATTTCACAAGATATGATGACGACCATGACCCCGAACACGGTGAAGAAGAAGTTTTACAAACATCCATTAAGACAGGAAAGGTTTTAACACAAAGTCTCATTATTGACACCGAAGATGGCGAAGTGGACGTTCTTCAAGAGCTGAAGAAAAATACTTCTTCGGGAGGTGGTGGTAGGCATGAACTTGAAATAAATGAGATAGAAGAGAAATTAGCCGAAAAAGCAGATAAAAACCATGTTCATTATATAAGTTCAGACGAACAAATTATAACGGACTACCACGGATATTTAATACAGGATGAACAAATAAGCACTGAAGATGTTAATGAAAGAAGATATAAATACATTCGTGCTAAAGGTTATGACATACACTGTACTGTACAGTATGACACAGGTAAAGCATCAGAAGCATTTGGTTATAACGATGAAATATATGCTTCGTATTTCTTTGTTAACGGTGTATTAGTTGAACCAAGATTTACTTTGAGAGTTAAGGCAAAAATAACTTTTGAAGATGCTATTAAAAGTAAAGCTGACAAAGATGAACTTGACGCAACGAACAAAGTTTTGAAATCTCATAAACACAATATCTCCGATATAAATGAACTTCAAGCTACATTAAATAGTAAAGCTGACAAGAACCATACACATGAATCCTTCACTACTGTTAGAGCAGACGACATAATATTGAACTATACCCTTGGTTCAAGTGCACCTTTAGAGAATCCAAGTACAAGCGTAAAAGATACTCTTAATAGTTTAAATAGTAAATGTATGAACATTGAAGGTCATGTCAGAAACTTTGAAACATATGAACTACCAGCAATGTTAGATAAGAAAGCAGATAAAGAACATACACATAACTCCTTCTCAACTGTTGCTATAGAAAGTATTGAAGGAACGGTTGGCGGAACTGGTGGGGATGCATTATATTATAAACCTCCTAACTTTCCACAAGGTTTAACTTCGAATGAAAACATAACAACGAAGAAAGAAATTAGCTGTAAAAATGTTTATGTCATGAATGATGAAAATAATGTTAAATTCACTGCTCAAGATTTATATGATAAGAAAGCAGACAAAACAGAGCTTCAAACATTAAAGACTGAAATACTTCAAACATTAATTCCTATAGGCTCTATTTATACGTCAATGAACTCAACAAATCCAGCAAGTGTTTTAGGTTTTGGTACGTGGCAGCAGATTGTAGACAAATTCTTATACTGTGCTAACTCTTCAAAGCAAACAGGAGGCTCAAAGAAAATTAAAGAAGCAAACTTACCTGCGCACACTCATACAGGAACTACAAACTTTTCTGGCGACCATAGCCACTCATTAAGAGACCACCCATTATACAACTCAGACTATAAAGCTGGCAATGATGTTTTATCTCCATCTTATAACAATTCAGCAAAAAAGACTTTTCGACCAACTGAACCAGGAGGAAATCATGTCCATACTTTCACAACAAATCCAACAGGCTCGGGTGATGATTATATGCCACCATTTATGACGGTTTATGCATGGTACCGCGTTCAATGAACGCGCTTGAGCCTGCTTTGCAGGCTTACCGTCTTGAATAAAATCTTTATTTTTACATAAATGAGCTTGAAAGAAGTATTCGAACAACATCCATGGAGGTCATTTAAGAAGTTCAATGAAGCTGCAAAGAGTTGGGGATTTACTAACAGAGCTGAGGTTAAAAAGTTCTTTGACAAAAATGTTGTACATCAAACAAAAATAAACCCTTACGACTACTTTTTACCAATTTACTCCAACACTCTTGACGCATACCAATTTGACACTCTCATTCAAAGCAGAAAAGGAGGACATAAACCATTTTTGATTTTCATTAATGTTAACACTCGCAAAGCTTTTGCATATCCAATGAAAAATAAAGGAACTCGTGAAGTGTTAAGAGTTTTACAAAAGTTTGTAGCAGAACATAGCCCAAGTACTTTAACATCAGACCAAGACGGTGCATACCTCAGCAATGAAATCACAGAATTTCTCATTAAGCATAACATAACTCACTACACTACTGAAGACCATAACCATAACATACTCGGCATCATAAACCGCTTCATAAGGACACTAAGAGATTTAAATCAAGAGCGAGACTTTACCGAAGAAACAATGAAACATTTTCTCGAAGTATATAATTCCTCAACACATTCTACAACAGGACATACACCAAATTCAATGACACAACAACAAGAAGAAAAGTATATACAAAAGAAACGAAGCCAAACACAAAATATCAGAAATTCAACACAATTTACACTCATTCCTGGTACAAAAGTTCGTGTAGTTCTTGACGACAAACCGTTGACAAAGAAACGTTTAAGGTTAAGTCGAAATTATTATATCGTAGACTCTACGCAAGGTAATGGATATCTTATAAAAGCTGCTGACGACTCTATTGCATTTTACCCTCGTCATAAATTAGTTGAAAGTAGTAATGGCAAACTTGCTGAAACCATTGACGAAGCAAAGCGAGGAGTGGTTATTGAAATACTTGGCTACAACATAAACGATGACACTTATAAAGTAAGATATGAAGGAGGCGTTGAAGATGTTATACCATCTAAGAACTTGAGAGAGTCGAAGCCAACACATCTGGGACCATTAGAGCGGGAGTACTGGAAAGATAAAAATAAGCCAGAAAGAATAAGAAAATTCTTCTAAACTTTTTCATTAGATGTTATCTCATACCGAAATGGCTCACAAAAAAAGTGACATTTTTGGCGCCAATAATTTGATTTTTCTGATTCTTTCTATTTAGATATATTTATTTAATATTCATATTCCTTTATATTGCCTCATATTATTTCCCATTTTTAATCATATTATACAAATCTTTAATAATTTTTAATGTTTTGAGCTTCAAAATCTTGTTCTAACTATTTTCATTCATATATCCTAGAAAAAATTAAAAAGTTTTTTAGAAATAAAAATGTTTGTATGTAAAGTATTGAAAATATTCTAGATGAGAAGACATTCTCCAGAAGAGATTGATATTGATTGGCTTTGTGAAGCCATCACAAAATCAAATAATGGAGTTAAGTTAACTGATATTTGCGCGAAAGCTAAAATAAATCATGAAGGCAGAGTTATATATAATCATACTATCTTAAAGTATTCCTAGAAATTTCCAAAATTAACCGAAATATAACTGTACAGAATTACTATTTTCGAGATAAAATTCATATGGAAATACTAATTCATAACGCTTTATGTTATATAAAATTTAATTTATAAAAATTTCAAAATAAATCAAATTTAACACAATGAAATAACTCAAAGTTTGGAAGTCTAATAAGGGAAATTGTAGGCTATGAGGTACTGATTATATATCAGTGCCTCATAGCCTGCAATTCCCATTAGAAATCGGAGAAACTTTGTCCGCATAACTTATGATGCGGACAAAGTTTCTCCCATTTCTACTTAGAATGAAAGGGCAAGAGGTATATAGGTACACTATATATCTCTTGCCCTTTCCTTCTTACCTAAAGACTTCCAATCTTATTTTTTTCCCCAATTTTTCCCCTAAATTTAAATCTTATATAATATAAATAAAATGCATAATATCAATCACAAAAATTAATGTTTATTTTTTTAATTAAAATTGCCGCGCAATTTAAGGTTTTCTGTCACTTTTTTTGTGAGCCATTTCGGTACGAAACACTTTTTCATTAGATGTAAATCAGACATGAACGAGAACAGTCATGATATCATTAATGGTACCATTTATTTTAACATTAAGACGCAAAGCGGCGGGGCATAGCCCATGACCAAAAATAATGTTTAGGGTAGATGGGTATATCTAACCTCATTTCTACCCTCATTTCTACCCTCATGAATTTTCATGAATTTCCTTAAGACAGAAAAAATAAAGTTAGTTTTATTTTTATTTATTTTTTTATTTTGTATGTAAGAACAGAAATGTCAGTCGAAGCAAAAACATTCACTAACAAATATAATGGCGAAACATTCACAAAAGGCACTTATAACGGTATTGAAGTCTTACGTAGAGACAAGGATGGTTACATTAATGCAACAAAGATGTGTCAGCAGTTTAGGAAAGACTTTAGAAAGTTGTTGGAAAATAAGTCCTGGGAAGAGTATTATAAGGCGTTTTGTGAAGAATATAGCAACAGTCCGAATTCCGGCGGTTGCTTTTTATACAAAATTCATGCAGGAAATTCTTGAGTTTTGGATGAAAGAATACGGTCGAGCCAAAAGTGGCTCAACCTCAAAACAAGCATTTTATGAGCTTACTAAGGGCGTTATAAATGAATTCAAAGGTATTTACATACATCCTGACCTCGTTCATTTTGTTGCTGAATTCAGCAAAAATAATGTTTAGGGTAAATGGTTAGATCTAACCCGATTTCTACCCTCACGAATTTTCATGAATTTCCTTAAGACAGAAAAAATAAAGTTAGTTTTATTTTTATTTATTTTTTTATTTTGTATAAAAGATATGATTTCAACAATCGGCACAACAACAATTCAAGCCGCGAACGGCGGGACTCTGTCCACAACAACAGCACCAAACTCGTTAGTCATGAATCCAACATCTATGTTAGTAGAGATGAAAAACTTCATTCCTTCTTCATATAGTTTTGGAACAGAAATACAAAGAATAAAGCAAGAACTTTTAACAAGTAATTTAGACTGTACCGCACAGGATGAAGAAAATGAAGAATATCTTTATGAAATGCAGGACATTATTGACCATTTACCAAAATTGCCTGAAATCCAACAACAAAAGCTCACTATTCCTGAATTCGATGAAATAGAAGTTAAAGTTAGTGATTCTGCAGAAACAAAGAAGTTCATACGAAAGGTAAATTATGAGTTTCTAGGATATCATTGCAACCATAAAGTTATGGACAAAGATTGCGACATGGTATATAAGAACATCTCTGACATATATAAATCGGGGGAGTTTAAGACATACGACAACTTTGTTTCATTAGTTGCAAAATGTGTATGGCAGATAAGAGATAAAGATAGAAGAGGTAAGGTATGGCATGAACAGATAAAACCAACTGCTTCAGATTTAAAGAAAACCATTGACGCCTTAGTTGTTTTAGCAGGTAAGGTTTCAGAATATAACGCAAAAATGAATCCGCAATGTTCTAAATGTAAAGCAGCAATGAGGAAATATAACTATTCAGTAAAAGAGATAGAACGTATGCGAAACGACTATGCAGATTTAAAGAGGGAGGCAGAGAAGCCGGTAGAAGATAAAATGGACATGTTAGCATTTCTGAACAAAAACTATCCAACTGCTGACGATTTCCTTCTATCTGACGTCAAGAAGAAGTATAAAGAAACTTTCGGCATTGTTAAAATTTTTGATATCCTCAGCGAAGAAATAGAAGCTACAAAACTGTTTAGAATCTCACGAATTCATAACGTTTACCATGTAAAACGGTTATAAATAATGAGGGTAGAAATGAGGGTAGATATCGGGTTAGATCTAACCATCTACCCTAAAATATATTTTTATTGAATTCAGCAACAAAATTCTGAGTAAAATAATTTTTAGGGCATGTGTCAAACCGTTGAGTTTTCACAAAATTTAAAAAATAACGTATATCATGTGAAACGTTTATAAAATAACTGGGGTAGAAATGAGGGTAGATATCGGGTTAGATCTAACCATCTACCCTAAAATATATTTTTATTGAATTCAGCACAAAAATAATGAATTTCATTAGTTAGAAAAATAACGCTAATTTTATTTTTATTTATTTTTTTATTTTGTATGTAAAGACAGTAATGTCAACATCAGAGAACACAACAACAGTTATAGTCCATGAAGCTATAAATGAAGAATACGAGTACATACAGTATAACAAACAGTTACGTCTCATTCGTTCAGTCAAAGATGACATGTACCAAATGCAGAGTATAATGAATGCTCTTCGTTCTACAAAGCAAGCATATCATTGGTTTGAAAACCAACAGACAAAAGAACTTTTAGAAGAATTTCCTCATATGATTGCTTCCCTCGGAAAACCGGGGAAAGAGATTCCGTATGAAAATCGCAAGAATTTGGCTCCTGGTTTGAAAGGTTATTATGTTCATAGACTTTTAGTAAATGCTGTAGCAATGTGGGCTTCACCTCGTTATGCTTGTTATATTTTCATGATGTTAGATGAACTATATAAAGCAGAACGTGGAGAGATGGAAAAGAAACTTCATGCAAAAGATGAAGTCATTGAATCCAAAGACAAAAGCATACAGAAAAGAATACCGCGTTCAGTACCAAAAGGAAAGGAAAAGAACTATAAGTATATGATTTATACTGAAGAGTTGGAGAAAGAAGAAGACAGTGACATGGTTATGTTGCATTTAGTGAGAAGAAACAACAAGAGCTTTTACAGTAAGCCTGCAGAACCTGAAAAATCATATGGACCTGTATTTTATGAAATGGTTGCGAACGCCTGCAATACAAACAATGATATGATAGGATTTAATGAAGATGTTATGAGGTCATTGGTGGATGATGGTAGTGTGGAACATAAATGGGATAGCTATGACAACACACATTTCTTATGTGGTTTTCCAACAGAAGTGGACTTTTGCTTCCAGCAAGGTCAAACATCTACTGCTCCAATAACATACAAATTGACTGTTAAAGGACCTATTGAACTAGCAACTGAAAATGTACCAAAGCCACTTATTGGATTTATGAGGGATTGTTGCTTTGCCATTCAGGTGCGTGCTAATGGAATCCCAATAATAAGATTAGATGACTATAACTTAGCTGCGGACGACAGTGAGGAATAAAGGATGAACGTTTATTTTTAAAGCTTATAAATGAGTTCTTCATCAAGCTCTCGTGAACCTTCACCATCTGTGAAACAAACTTTACCAAACGATTATGGAGCACCTATTGAATATTTCTTACGAGCTGCACAATGGCAAAGAGCAGTCTCACCAAGGTTAGGTGTTCCACCAGCTCCTGTCAAAAATAGCATTTGGTCAAGTCCTTATATAAGATATGGTCACCCACTAGGTTTGCTAGCTACAGCAGTAGCAGTTATGATGTTGAAAAGAAATAAAGCAAATGTTGTAAATAATACTGAAGTAGCTGAAGTTAAACAAACTCCAACACCTTCGTCAAAACCAACGCCTTCACAAGCAAAACCTTCAATGACTCCTGAACCTATGGAAGTACAAACTCCTGTTCAAAAGTCAACTCCTAAACCGACTCCAACATTTAAACCAGAACCTACTCCTCAAATAAATCGTAAAACTCCTGCGTTTCCTTACTGAAAAAATAACGTTATTTTTATTTAATATTAAAATTTTTATTTGATTGAAATGACGACTAAAGTCACTGAAGCAACGAAACAAAAGTTTTTGGTAGAATACATTAAATCAGGAACTATTCCAGAAGGTTTTTACATTCATACTATGAAGGATGGTAGAGTTCAGTTTAGAAAGATAAAGCAACCATTAGATAAAGAAGGAATTTTGAGAAAGATTAAACTTCATGAGGACAACATTGCTGAACTTAAGAAGAAGCTAGAAGAGTTGGAGAAAGGAAGAGAGTTATAAAGCAATGAATTCAACAGGGTAGGAAAGAGGGTAGTTATCGGGTTAGATCTAACCTTCTACCCTAAATTTATTTTTGTGCTATGTTTTCATACGTGTGAGGGTGGTGATATCATTAATTTTTAAGTTTATTTTTTTATTTTATTTTTAAGTTTATTTTTATATAAATGACAGAACAAAAGCAACTCATACAAATCGAAAAATATAACAAACATACATTTAAACATTTATTCTTCCTTCCTGAGTATAACATGTTCTTTACACTTCATCCTAGACCAGTTGACTATACACTGACTGTATATAAAGATTGTCATGGTAGTTTTATAAAAACTTATGATGATGAAGGTAAGTTAACAAGACTATGCATTTCAAAACTTGAGAAACTTTATGACTTCAAGTATGACTACAATAGAGTTAACATTGACGATGAAGATATTGAAGAAAATTTATGAGAACGTTTATTTTTTCATTAGTGAGTTCGTTAGTGAGGTGAAATAGTTGGCGGCTTTGTAAATAGTTAAGGTTAAGTTAGTTTTTGCGTTCATGTTGTAAAATATACGTTAGCGGTTTCGTAAAGTGTCAAATTCACATATAATGAGTAAGGAGGCGCGCAGTGCCTCCGTACCCAACATAGTTTTACTAACTACAGAGGCTTGAACTTTTGACATAAATGTTTTCGCTGTTGAATCCATAGAGTCTGAAGTTGCTGATATAATGATTTGGTCATAGTAAGAGTCGTTTCCTAAACGCTCTGTTATGAGTATATGACGAATGAGGTTAAATGTCTTACCTGAACCCATCTTTCCACAATAGAAATACACACCATTTGAACAGAATTCATAATCTTTGCTGAAAGGAAGAATAAGAGAAGGGTTAAGTTTGTCTGTAGTTTCATTCATGTCTTCATCTACATCATGTATTAAATGCTTCATTTTATCTCCATTAAAAATGCAAGTCAGAAATATTCAGAACATAGCACCGAGTCTAACTGACAAGAGTATAAAGATATACTATGAACACGTTATGATGAAACCTACCAAAATTCAAGAAAGTCAGTATACTTATGAATATCCAAGACACTGGGTAGAGTATATAAGAGGTGAGAAAGCTATTGAAATAAGACAAGTTAGAAGTATTCCAGCAGGAAGGACAATATTATTGAAGAACTTTAATGTTTTGAGGTATAATGATGAAACAAAGAAGCAAGATAGTTTTCCTGTTGCTGTGTATGTGAACCTAGACACAGGAGATGACATGAAAGTTTTTAACACAAAGCTTCAAACGGTAGTGAGAGAACAACTTACTGCGGAAGGACATCCATTACCTTCAGAAGTTACCATAGCATATAATTTTGAAACAAACTCAATAGATTTTAAAGTCGTCTCTGCAAAGAAGTCAGGTTTACATTTAATGAAGCAGATGTATATTCGAATGAAAACTTCAAAGCTATTGCATGGTTAGATAATGACGATTGCTTTAAGAAAATATTTAAATTCAGTGACTCAAAGATGTCAATAGATGACCTTCGTGGAATGTTACCATCGACGTTTACAGTAGAAGGTTCAGCAGGATTGCTTACAAGTTTTTCAATTGGTGGCATTTGGTCTCGTGAAAACATTGTTATAAAATCCAGTATAAGTGAATTTGCTGAAGAATCTATATTATGTCTTTCAAACTATATGTATTCGCCGCCGAAGCATTATAGTATAACAAACTTTGTCAGTAAGTTTAACATAAGACTTGTCGAACCTTCTTCAATGAAAGATGTTGTGCTACCTAAAGATGGAAAGGATGGACTCATTATTGAGATGATTTTAATAGCATATTAAATGAGCTTGTTCTTGAAGGTCATTCATGATGAAATAACTGTTGTAGAAGATGTTAGCAATTGTTCAGACATTTTGAAGCGTATAGATGATATAAGAAATAAGTTAGATAGACCGCAAAGCGGTGAGGGCGAAGCTCGTGAGAACGTTTATGTTTCATTGACGTTCTCCAGTAACGAGAACTTTTATGAGATAATATTGAAGAGAGATGATTTTAATATGGTGTAAATGGTAGCTTGGGCAGCTTTAGGTGCAATGGGAACAAAAGCATTAGCATTTGGAGCAAAAGCACTTGGAGCTTATGACGCAGTAAATAAAATGAGTGGAGGAAGGGTTTCAAAGACATTAGATGCAAATAAAGGAAAGATAGGAGGCTGGGTTGCAAAGAAGTTAAGATTAAATAAAATAGGGCTCATAAATAAAGCATCCAATTTAGTTGCGACTGAGTCAGAAAATGCTTTAGGAAAGGACGATGAGTTTGCAAACACGCAAAAGACTTTAATGACCAGATGAAAGGTGAAACAATGCATTTAAATAGAGTCGATGGAACTAAAGAAAATGTTTCTTCTCCACCAGTAGTTCTTCCGTATGGTCCCTATGGAATGTATGGAAACCCTTATGAACGACCATTTGACCCATTGACTGGTGGAAGTAATTGGTATCATTACGGCCGAAGAAGAAAGACAGTCAAGTTGGAGACGGACGTAAAGAAAGCAACTAAAAAGAAACCAAGGAAGAGAGTTATAAAGCAATGAATTCAACAGGGTAGAAAGAGGTTAGAAATCGGGTTAGATCTAACCTTCTACCCTAAGTTTATTTTTGTGCTATGTTTTCATACGCGTGAAGGTAGTGATATCATTAATTTTTAAGTTTATTTTTTTATTTATTTTTAAGTTTATTTTTATATAAATGACAGAACAAAAGCAACTCATACAAATCGAAAAATATAACAAACATACATTTAAACATTTATTCTTCCTTCCTGAGTATAACATGTTCTTTACACTTCATCCTAGACCAGTTGACTATACACTGACTGTATATAAAGATTGTCATGGTAGTTTTATAAAAACTTATGATGATGAAGGTAAGTTAACAAGACTATGCATTTCAAAACTTGAGAAACTTTATGACTTCAAGTATGACTACAATAGAGTTAACATTGACGATGAAGATATTGAAGAAAATTTATGAGAACGTTTATTTTTTCATTAGTGAGTTCGTTAGTGAGGTGAAATAGTTGGCGGCTTTGTAAATAGTTAAGGTTAAGTTAGTTTTTGCGTTCATGTTGTAAAATATACGTTAGCGGTTTCGTAAAGTGTCAAATTCACATATAATGAGTAAGGAGGCGCGCAGTGCCTCCGTACCCAACAATAGTTTTACTAACTACAGAGGCTTGAACTTTTGACATAAATGTTTTCGCTGTTGAATCCATAGAGTCTGAAGTTGCTGATATAATGATTTGGTCATAGTAAGAGTCGTTTCCTAAACGCTCTGTTATGAGTATATGACGAATGAGGTTAAATGTCTTACCTGAACCCATCTTTCCACAATAGAAATACACACCATTTGAACAGAATTCATAATCTTTGCTGAAAGGAAGAATAAGAGAAGGGTTAAGTTTGTCTGTAGTTTCATTCATGTCTTCATCTACATCATGTATTAAATGCTTCATTTTATCTCCATTAAAAATGCAAGTCAGAAATATTCAGAACATAGCACCGAGTCTAACTGACAAGAGTATAAAGATATACTATGAACACGTTATGATGAAACCTACCAAAATTCAAGAAAGTCAGTATACTTATGAATATCCAAGACACTGGGTAGAGTATATAAGAGGTGAGAAAGCTATTGAAATAAGACAAGTTAGAAGTATTCCAGCAGGAAGGACAATATTATTGAAGAACTTTAATGTTTTGAGGTATAATGATGAAACAAAGAAGCAAGATAGTTTTCCTGTTGCTGTGTATGTGAACCTAGACACAGGAGATGACATGAAAGTTTTTAACACAAAGCTTCAAACGGTAGTGAGAGAACAACTTACTGCGGAAGGACATCCATTACCTTCAGAAGTTACCATAGCATATAATTTTGAAACAAACTCAATAGATTTTAAAGTCGTCTCTGCAAAGAAGTCAGGTTTTACATTTAATGAAGCAGATGTATATTCGAATGAAAACTTCAAAGCTATTGCATGGTTAGATAATGACGATTGCTTTAAGAAAATATTTAAATTCAGTGACTCAAAGATGTCAATAGATGACCTTCGTGGAATGTTACCATCGACGTTTACAGTAGAAGGTTCAGCAGGATTGCTTACAAGTTTTTCAATTGGTGGCATTTGGTCTCGTGAAAACATTGTTATAAAATCTAGTATAAGTGAATTTGCTGAAGAATCTA